GTATCAGGGTAATATTTGCCTCCCGGAATGAATTAGGGAGAATTGCTTCCCAGTCACTCGCCCTGTGTGTGCCGGTGAAATTTGCTCCCAGGCTGCAATGTCCTCTGTTTGGCAAAAGGCAAAAGAGGCGAGGGCCTCGCCTGTGGCAGACTGTGGGCTGCTTCACCATTTTATAAAGTCCTATCCCCATGTTTTGTTTGATCTACAAGTCTCTTGTTACAGACTGATTACGGGCGTCAGGATGTGTGTTTCATTCTTTCATCCAATTACCTGTGTTTTTAGTTGGTTTTCTCTGAGTAACTCCCAACATGGCTCCTCTATGCCACCATGATGCACAAACTGTGTGTACATTTCTATGTGTACGCGATCCCTTTGTCCTGTCCAGGGGCTTATCTTGTGAGATTTACAGCAGAGCCCGACATTCAAGGACAAGGTAACAAAAAGAGATACATACATATTTTAGTGTATTAACATGATAATAAGAAAATATGTACTCGTATATGGGTGTGTGAGTGTCATGGTGTTAGTGTATATTTTATACACTGAGCTTTAAAAAAATAAGAATGCCCCCCTCCTCGCTTTGTTTCTTTCTGTGTTGACTGGAGGTGGGAGAAGGAGGGAACTGAGCTTTGGCATGAAGTAAGCCAGGCCTTCTTATCAGCTCTCTTTTTCTTAGTTATTCTCTCTAGCAGGGGTTTAACATTTTATTTGCTGGAAACCTCACTGAGACCTTTGACTTTCCCTGCCTGTCTCACCAACTTTCCCTACAGTTACCATGAGGCTTGCATGAATTGTCTAGTAGTTACAACCATCTATTTTTACTTGCTAATAATTAAATTCAATTATATAAAGAAACTCGAAAGTTTTATCCCTCCTTGTATGAGCACATACCTCATTTTCCTGAGTCAGAATTTACTATTTTGTCTTTTGAATTTTTTTATTTTAAAGAGAAAAGAACAAAAACAAAATAATAAAAACAGAAACTATAAAAATGATCCAGAATTTCAAAACAAGATGATAGGAAATCAACAATGGTCGTATTACTTATTGTTATCTTCAAAGCAGTTGTTCAGATTACCAGATATAGGTATGCAAGACTGATCAAACAAATAAACATTAACTGTTCCTTTCAATAAACCAAAAGAAAATTAGTACAATTATCTTAGCTATCGTGTGTGTGTGTGTGTGTGTGTGTGTGTGTGTATAATTTCCCTTCCTTCTTTTTCTTCTTTCCCTCATCCCACTTGTTCTTTCCTATGGAGAAGTTTCTTTCCCTTTCACAATATCTATTGTATATTTCAGTTTTATTTACTCTTTCAGGTAGAATTTACTATTTTGTATAGGGATCTATTACTAAATTTTCATGGTTATAGGAGAGGCAGAAGCATGATGTGGCACTGGATCTAGTGGTGCATGGAGAGCCAAGTGAAGGGAGGCATGCCACAGCTCCAGATCAGAGAGAGGGGGAGGAGCAACGGCACAGCAGCTTAGGCAGGTAGAGTCCTCAGCATTGCTAAAGTGTGTGGACCTCAGCAGCAAACGATGTGGAGGTTCTGTGACATTCACGAGGATTGATCGAGTCATTGGTGGGGCCTCTGAGTCCAGTGATGAGTCCTCCTGAACAGGTAAGGGGCAGAACTGGTGACGTGAGCTCATGTGGTAACAATATGTAGAGCCAACAGTGGAGGTAGAGGCATTTGTGAACATATACATGGTGGGGGAATGGTGCGTGCACCTGTGGTGGTAACAGCCAAGACCAATGGGCCCATGTGATCGTGATTAGTGGCTGTGAGCGCGTGTGCAGTATGCATACAGCAGTGTGTATGCAGCCAGCAGTGGGTAATGGGAACTGATTGCTGATATGTTCAGGATTTATTTGGAGTGAAAAATATTCTGTAATTAGCTAGTGGATATGGCTGTACAACTCAGCATACAGCAAAAACTAGTTACTTATATGCTTTTATATAATTAATTGTATCTCAATAGAGCTATTGCTAGTAAATGAACAATGACAAAAATTCTCCATTTGTACCTAATTTTTAATCAGGAGCTTAATCTCTGAAATTAGATCACAACTGTTCTACCCAAGATTGCCTGATCACCTGCAATAATTATACAATTGTAAAAATGTTGGAGTGTTAAAAGATCATTTCAAATTAGTCTTTTCATCTCCTTGTAGGTGAGCTTCAAGAAGGATAAAGGTGAATTAATAAGGTGAAATAACTTGTAGTAGAACCACATAAGTGGTTCACATAAGGTGAAATAACTTGTAGTAGAACCAAGGAAGACGCAATCCAGTGGTATATCCTTATTTCTTTGTTAAATTTAACATTTTCTTTACTAAAATTCACGTTTGTTTATGTAAAGAAAAATATATTGAAAGAAAGAAAAAGAACTTTCTTATTAAGTCCAATGGTTATTATTAGGCTTACGGTAATTACAGAAAAAAAGGATAAGAGAATAAACAATTGCACCTTTCGCTCCTATGAATGAGAAAATACAACCATTAGTACTTACAGCTTTAGCTTTTTGTTGTTGTTTTTTTTCCAGTACCGGGAATCAAACTCATGACCTTGCGCTTGCCAGCAGGCACTGTGCCACTAAGCTAAATCCCCAGCACCAGCTTTAGCTTTTTTTAAGACAATACAACACAAGCACGCAAAGTAATTGAACTACAGTGATCAGTCCTTTCCCCAAAAAGGGGAAGATGATCACACACTTAGCAAAGATGCTATATGCCTAGGAATTTGCCCTCATCCTTCACAGGGATGTTAAATTTAATCCATAGAAAAAGATACCTTTCAGAGTATTAGTTTCCAAAGTGTGCTCTCTTTTCTTTTCCTTACTTTTCATGGCTGTTTTCACAGGTAATGACAGACGTAGATGCAACAAGTAGTTTTTGCTTATTTACTTAGGAGACTTTCTGTAATAGAACATTTTCCAGGATGGACATAGTTGTTTGTTTCACCAATAGCAACTTTTAAATACAGGACTTTTAAAATTTTTCCCATAAAAAATCACACTAATTTTCACTAAGGGTAAAGAGCACTGTCCAGTAATAACCCTCAAAAGCTTACTGTGCAGAACATTATCACATAACCCTCAGCCAGAGAGTAACTCAGCAATCACGTGGGCCTGCACTTTGTCAGTCAGTGTCCACATCTACCTGAGTATGGCATTTTGGGTCAGGGAGACGGGCAGCTGTGAGAACAAAGAGTGGTGGCTATCAATTTTGTAGCAGACTCTTTACTAGATACCAGAATAGGTTTATACCATGATTTCGTAAAGCTTCTAACATGCTAGTATAGATATACCCTGTCCTAACTGGCCAGACTCTTCCAGGTTGCAAGTATTGTTCCCATATTCATATCATCCCTTTTCATTCCTGTCATCCTACCTATGACCGTCTAAGAGGTGTGTATATGTGTATAGCTATGTGTGTACACTAAGCAGACTTTTATAAATTTACAAGATCAATAACATAATCATGTCCATATTCCTTAAGTGATCTCCTAGAACAGTGACCCTGGTACATAGATAATGGTTTGGGAGTTAGTTTTCTTCCTTTGATAGCTGAAGAAACTAGGACCAGATAACTAAGGAAATTCATCTAGAAAATGGTAGAGATGGGATTAATGCCTAGGACTCGAGCTCCTACTGCTCATGCCTTTTTTGAGATATCAAAGATTGCCACGCTAAAACGTTCTTCCTATGATGTTTAAATGGTCTATCATTATGTTTCCTAACAATGTAATCCAACTTTACATTCTAATTTCGATTTAAATGGAGTGCAAGTCAATTGTTTTCTTTTTAACGTATCTCTGTAGAATTAACCAATGATGGAGTCAATGATAAAATACTTTCTTGTAGTCAACTCTTAAAGCTTCTAAGCAAACTTCATTCATTTCTGGTTTTCTCTTCCTCACCCTCTGGTAAATATGGTAACTGATTTCTTTATACCTGTGAGTGTCACTGTCTTCACAGGCATTGGTGTAAGGAAGGAAGAGCTAATTTTATCAGTCTACCAGCAGATTTTTCAAGGTCTACTAAAAAGCACTCCACTATATTATTTTATTCTTCTGTGGCTCCAAGTGTCTTTCAAAGTGAGGTTTCTACTTTCTTGGGCTTTATGATACCTATGACAATGTCAAAGAGGTTAAATTAGAATGTAATTCCTTATTCTTTTCTTTCATTTTCTGTATGCTTACTAACAAAAGTTATTTTCATTGTACAGCACCAAAAGGTATGGCCTTAGAAGAAAATCATGCAAAGAATTCTAAAAATAAAAAAGGATTCACATTTTGGATCATTCATAGGCATGGTTATTTATAGCTAACAGTTATACATTTTAGGTGACTCAAGCAGCTCCTGAGAAAGTGTGAATGCTTGTATTATATTCAAAGTGAAAGGTTTAATAAGAAAGCTATTTATTATGAGCCAAGAAATACAAATAGCTTTTTCTGAGGAAGAGAAAAGTAGAAAATGCAGATAAAATGGTTTAAACTCCTGGGAAAGTCGTTTCTCAATAGTATATCTTTTGCTCATTATCAAGAAAAAGCAGTTAATATTAATTATATCTAACCCACATAAGGTAAACCAGTCAAGCAGTTGAAAAAAAATTCCAAAGTAATTAAAGCAGAAGAACATTTCTGGAGAGAATTTGTTCTTCAATTTGGAGATGGCGATATGAGATATACATGATGGAACACCCTTGTCACAGCCTGGAAGTTGTGATTGTATTGCGGAGCTTTGATATTTGAAACACAGCACAGGGGGGCTGGGGATTTAGCTCACTGACACAGAGCCTGCCAGGCAAGCACAAGGTCATGAGTTCAATCCCCGGTACTGGGAAAAACAAAAACAAAAACAAAAAAACCAAACAAAAGAAACACAGCACATTCTTCTATAATAAAAACTTATGATAATTTACCACTTGCAGTAAGAAATGATTCAAGTCTTACTACTTAATGAACCACCTATTTTTAAAAAAGGAATGCAGATATTGATCACATCAAACATTTTCATTGAGAGGTTGACATGGACACTCATATAGTTTATCATGGATGGTCTCAGAATGTTTCCTGTGTGTGAGAAACAGAACCACAGGCCTTTTTGTATAAGTTCCTGTACATCTTGTCCATGCTGTTCTCAAAGATGGGTCGGTGGGATTTTCCCTTGTAAGAGGCTGCCCTGTTGGACCAGTATTCACCATCATCCAAATGGAGACTGCCATGTGGCCGCTGAAACGAGCTAAAGAAAAGGACACAAAAAGTTTAAAGCAATGGTGAAAATGAACTGGAGGTAGTACTACCTAAATCATCTATTTATTGAGTACTTGGTGAATATGTGATTCTCTGTTGGTGCTCTGAGAAATATCATACAATCAGTTTATGCCTTCAAAGATTGATTCTGCTAGGGGAAGTAGAACTATTGACACAAAGCAGTTACAAAACAATAAAATGGAAATTTTGTGTTAGAGTTCAAATGGAATTCAGAGAACCGAGAGAGGTGCAACATGGTGAAAGTCTGGGACGGCCAGCACGAGAACACAGAGCCTCTACATTCAGCATACCTGGAACTGAACCCTTTCTCAGCTGCAGAATGTTGGATAATATGTTCATTATCTAGAATAGGAGCTTCCTCAGTTATACTTTTGTAGGATTGTTTTCAAAATTAAATAGTATATATGTAAAGTGTATATAGCACACTACTTATCAGAAACACAGAAGTCATTAAATATGAGGCATTGAATTAAGTACCTTATACATATTTAATCAATGAACATCCCAGACTTTAACATGGGTAGATGTGGAAATTAAGACTCGGTGAAGTTAACTGACGTGGCTTTGACTACTCAGCTAGTGGCAGAATGGGAAAGGGAATCTTATCTGTGGATCTAGAGCCCTCTCTACTATGACATGCTGTTTTTGACCTCACCGTGGGAGAGAATATTAGGCTGAATAAGTACTACTTGTGAAAAATGGAAGTGACATAGAACAGCCTGAATTTGAATAGGGATCCACCATAGTGGTGAAAGTCTAGAAATAAAATAAAATACAACAAATAGGTATTTAGTGACACAGATCAAGACTAGGCTAGGTACAATGGTAAAACGGACTGATAATACATTTATGAACATATCAAAGTTATAATTTTACTCTCATGAACATTAATTTCAAGGCTTAATATATAATTTTCTAGAGAAAAATGTTCATTTTGTCATAGATTGCAGTTATTTTTGATACAAACATTTACCTATTTCAGTAGGTGAAGCACTTGCTACAAATTAGATCTCTCAAGTCTGTTAGAGACTATGAAAATTGTGACATAAAACTGGATCTTCTGTGATTAAATATGACATATACTTAGAATCTTACTTCACATAAGTAATTTCATTTCCCTGCTTATCAGTCCTATGGCATTACTTCTATTATCAGCTGTACAATATGAACTCTTGGAGTATCCAAGAAGATAATTTACTTGGCTTGATATCATAACACATGCATGCAATAAAAATGGCCACAGAAAAAGACGGAGTGGCCATGTTAACATCCTCAGAGCATGACATGGTGCCAGTGAGGGGGCAGTACATACTCACTTTGGATAGGTTTTGGCAAGATCCATGAGAGTGACTATACAACTTAGATCTATTAACTCCCAGCAAAATTCTTATACATGTGTAATACCATATATGTACAAACATGTTCATACTCACACTGTTTATAATAGGTAGTAACTGGAAACAATGTAAATACCCATGTACATCAGAATGGATAAATCAAATTGTGGTCATGTACACAATGGTATAGGATATAGGAGGGAAAGTTAATGATATATAGCTATGTGGTTCATCAGGGATGAGTCTGAAAAGCCAACAGAGTAGAAAAAAAGCAAGCTCTGAACATTCCATAGTTATAATTATGTATATATAAAGTTTAAAACAAGGACAACTAAATAATCTATTGCTTAAGGGTGGCTACATGTATAGTATAACTACAAAGAAAAATGAGAAAAAATAACACAAAAGTCACAGTAGCATCAGTGGAGAGATGAGCATTAGTGCACACAGCTTCAAAGGAATAGGGGTAATTTCTATTTCTTAAGCATGATGGTGAGTAAATAGGTATTCAGTTTATTATTATTATCATGTAGGATGCATGAACCTTAATCTTTCTGCTACTACTGATATATCTACAATAAAAAGTTTGAAAAAATTTACCTCTATTTACTATGACAAAGGTCTGTCTGCTTCCTAAAGGCTTCACTAAAATGGTTGTACCTTGTGTTTTCTGTCAGTATTTACTACATCCTGGCAAACTTTACATTTGAAATCCCTTCTTTCACACTGGATAACTTTGAAATGATAGTTTCTGGGTTATTAGAGGTGTTTTAAGACATGATTATCATTACCCATCTCTTATTTACTCAGATTCCAAGTAGCAATTAAAACACTCTGTAGTAATACCAGTACAATGTTTAAATTTTTCACAAGGCCTCAGCCAAATCTCAATGCTACTGCTTTGATTTAGTCAGTACATATCTTTCATTAGCTTTGCATAAAAAAGAGTAGCCAATTTGAACATAATTAATTTCTTTCATGCAATTTCTGTCCAAGTCTAATTCCTACTGTCACTTAAAACAAGTTTTTGTTATTCTGAGTCACATCTTAGGGGAATCACATACATAAATACATTAGTAGAAAAATTCTGCATGTACCTCAGGCATCTGCAAATACATCTGTTAGCCTGAATCCCACAGATGCCTCTGTCCTCTCATGTAATTTAGGAGTCCTGTATGTTGAGTTTTGTTTGTTTAGTTGCTTTTTGTTTTTATTTGTCTTCAGTAAATCATGTGCTGATTACATAGTCACAATTTTCATAGTCTCTAACAGACTTGAGAGATCTAATTTGTAGCAAATCATGTGCATAGCTGGCCTTTTCTCACTGTTGCTCACTACCACCAACTTTACTACCTACTGGCTGAATAGTAATGGTCTACAAGCTACAATCTTGTTTAGGTTCTAGAATGACTCTAGAACAAAAAACCTATACAAATGAAGTTTAAATTTTAGCACATATCACTACCCAGCTCTCTGAAATGTAACTAATAGGAGGTCTATTTAAGTTTTAAAATTATGATACGGGTTTCTTCTAAGTTTATAAACCAAACACTTAATTATCTGTAATAAAGCACTATATTGTTATCAGACATAGATTTGCTACTGTCTTGGTTCCAGTATAAAATATAAGTCTCAAAGCTGCCATAAAATACCACCATAGTGGCTTGCAATAAATAAAATTCAGAAAGGTACTCAGGACTGTGATCTTGATAAAGTTGTATAAAGAGCTAAAAGGGCCAAAATAAATACGTTAATATTTTTAGAGATGGCAAAATTTGTTCAGGAACTTGATTAAAGACCAAGTACACAGTGTTCTATACATAGCCAATAACCTAGATTTCCATAAATAGTCATAAGATAAAATAAATGTAAGGTGAGGTATATGGGGAAAATGGTTAGAAAACTAAGAAGGATATATTACTCAAAGCCCCCTAAGTTTAAGAAATAATTAAAAGGTCATAAAGTAATATAACATGATCATTTTGCTACTTATATTCAAAGAACCAGAGTTGAGTCTTTAAAGTTGATGATACATATTCTGTACTTTACACTTTTGGTAACAAGTCAATATAATCAAAGGCATTTTATACTACAAGAGATGAACTCATAACAGTCAATAATGGTTTCTATCCAGGAGAAACCTTGTTGGACAAAGCATGTAGTATAGTACTGAGCATATCATCTATGCTCTACAGACACTGATGGACTGACAGATAGTAGGAAGGAAAATACTCAAAATCTTGGAATTCAGAATAGATGAAAGGGAGAGGTTATAATTACAGTCTAATAACAAAACTTGAAAGACATGTTAAAGATACCATAAAAATGTCATTAGAGATCAATAAAAAGTATCGATAAGTTATAGCAACAGTTCCCAAACTTTAACATGAATTAAAATAATCTGGAAGGCTTGTTATAATTAAAATTGTTAGACTTAATTCCCAGAGTTGTTAATTTACTATATCTGAGGTATGTGTGGGGGTGGGTGGGTGGGTTCAAGAATTAGAAACATATCTTGGTAAATACTAAGGTTGCTCATCTACAAATCACACCTTGGAAAGCACTCATAGACTTAGTCTTCTTAAAGATTAAAAAAAAAGAAAAGCTTATAGTAAAAATTGCAGGCTGTTATTTCTTTATTTTTTTTATTACTAGCTAGAACTACAAACATTATAAGAAGTCTATTTATGTGAATTCACTGAAATTTCATTATTTATGTCACTTATTTTCCCCCCGAGTCAAAATGTGGAGAAATGAGTTTCTGATACCAAATAAGGTCCAGCGACTTTCACCATTTGCTTTGTGCAGGTGCCTGCCTCCCAGACCCACTGTCCTGAGATTCCTAGAGAACCTAACATCTCTAGATTCCTTACCTAGAGATGTTACATGTTTCAATCACAGGGCATTTACCTAAGTCCGAGGGGCTCAGTAATGCAACTGATCACTATTAAGGGACCCAATTTTAAATTTCAGCTGTGTTTTGTGCAACTGCTACTATGTCAGAGACATTGATCTTTGATGGGCAATCATAAGTAGGTAAAATCTATGGTTGTGAGGAGCTCACACTTAATATAAGGAGGCATGAAAGCTAGACAATGAAATAGTTAAAATTATGAAACAAATATTACAAGTTGAAATTATACAGATATATCTCAGAGAAATTATTTAATAGTCTGTGAGAAGGTCAAAGTGTCTCAGAAAAAATAAGTTTAGTCCTAAAGAATGAGAATACATTCACTAGATAGACAAAAAGACGTAAGAGTCATTCCAGGGATCACATTTAACCAGAGTCAGAGTATGGAACAGTTTAAAATATCATAAAATACCAAGTATATTTATAGAGACAAAAATGGAGTAGGATTACGAGCCCAACAGAGAATTTTACCCTGGTGGCGATGAGGAAGCTACAATATGAGGATACAGGAGAGGCTTCCACCACAAAAGGAAGAGACTGAACTGAGATTATTCTAAAATTTCTTTAACCTCAAATGCTGCTTTTAGTGCATACCTGAATATAGAGGACAAGTAATCTTTAAATATATAATCAAAAATGGTATTTCAAGAGATATTTTAAGTCATCCTTTCGGTTTTAGCAGTGTAAATTCACTGTCATTATGTCTGTGTAGAACATCCCATATAGAACATTGTTTTTTCTTTTTCCTTTTCTTTTTTTGAAATTCCTTTAATAATTCCAGTGAAGAAAAAATACTTAAAAGTATTCTCATGTCTTAATCCAGTTAAATAAAAAAATGAACTTTTTTTATTGCTTACATAAAGCTTAAGATAACTACAGGCTTGAGCTTGGCGAATTTGTGGAATACTTATTGTAGCTCCAAGGCTAAACTGCATTGCTACGAATGATTTCTTCCATGTCACCTCATTAGCAGTCTGGCTACCTAATAATATTAAATTAAGGCCATACTTTATTCTAACACAATGTCATAAAGTCAAAATTCTTACTAAAATTTATATTTACTGTTTTTCATGACCTATTTAAAAATTACATTAGTTTGAAAAGAATTGCTAGTCATAGAACAATTCTGGTTGTTGGCTAGTATTCTTTAAGGGGGTTACAAGTTGGTATAGACATGTCCTGGTACTTTTCAGTTAACACGCATTAATATTAAGAAGATTGTTGTAATTACCAAGGTTGTTTATTTTCATTTAAAAGATGAATACTTCACTTTTCTAATAATCAGAAAGTTTCCTAGACTCCTAAATTAGAATTTTTATAATATTATGAAAAACCACTTAAGTACAGAGCACTTGAAGATTTATTTATATCAAAATAGTTTCTAGAAAAAATGTTTTAAAAAGAAATATTAAATATTTAATAAAAACAGATTCTATGATATTTGAATTACCAGGAGCCAATGAATTCAAGTTAGAATTAAGCAGTATTTTTTCACTTAAAAATTTACTAAAGAGATCTTAAATCTACATATTATATAGACTTTTTTCATTCCATTTGTTAATATATTAAGGGCATCTTTCTGGCTACTTATTACATCTTGACAGATTCATCAAATTGATCATTTAGTGTCTAGTGGTGAAGAGGTAAAAACTACAGTCAATCTTGTGTTACTTAAAAATAAGAAGCCAAAAGTTATATTTCTCAGATTGAGATTGTTACAATTTCAAAATTAGAACACTTTACTGGTGTATTTCTACTACTAGTATCCTGAAAAATATGCAAAGCAAATAGAAAACAGTTTTTATCTGTAATTAGTTATACAGAGTAACAGCATTACTAAAATTTTAGCCTAACAGTCATGGAAGATCAGGTTGTATTCTAAACACAAATTTTAAATTATTTTCATTCTTCTTTGTCTCTTTTTGCAGGCAACCTTCACCTGTATGGAATATCACCTTAGCCCCTGTCTTTAAAATTAGGGCCCAAGTAGGGTACTGATGACAGAAATGTGTAACAATGTAGGGATTTTAAACATTCTCAAAATTGAAGAAATTTGAAATACATATAGAAAATACTAAAAAATTCCGAAGGTCACAGGAGTTGGCAGAGTTGTCATTTAAAAAATTCTAAAATATTTTAGAAAATAACCAATTTGAAATTGACAAAGAAATCTATAAGGACAGTATATTTTTTTTCCCACAAGCCATTTAACATGCAAAGTACTAGAACTGAAAAGTCATGTACTAACTCCTTGAAAACATATTTCTTTCTAATGAGTTTCTCACACAAAGGTGATGTAAGACATGGGGGCACTTAACATGAATAAGATGATGATACTATAAGATGATACTTGGGAGATGAAATAACAGATGCTGTATTTTCTTATTCTGCTCTTTTTGCAGAAAGATATTAAAATCTGCTACAATATGTGGTAAATAACCATGAGGTATAGGTAGCCTGTGAGATCACATTTAGCCCTATGTATAATTTTTTATGAGAAAAATATGAGAAATATTTTATCTTAATCAATATGCTCTATTTGATGAGTTCTTGCCCCTATGCCTTCCTTTAATTCTTTAAAAATGGTTGCCTTTAATTCTTTGAACATAGTCTTTTTGAAGTCTGCTGAATCCAGCACCTGGGCATTCTCCAAGACAGTTCACAGAAATTTAGTTTTCATGTGTATGATTCATCCGGTTGTATTTTTTAAAATGTCTCAATTTTTTTTAAAATTAGCTATTTTGGATAAAACATACCACCTTGAGTCTGATCTGCCTGCCAGGATTATTATTATATTATTAATACTATTTTTATTATTAGTCTTAGTTTATGACCTGCCTGGCCTGATGCTGTGGACTGTGTTATGTTTCCCTCACACTGTACAGCTGCTGGTACCTCTTGCTCTTTAAAAAATGTTTCCATTTTTAAGCCCGGTTCAGCATGGATTAGTGGTCAGAAAATGACTGGTCAGAGTCAGCCAGGAAGGTTTCCATCTTCAGTCAATGGATCTAGGTGTGGCTTAAGGAATTACTCAAAGGTTATCCAGTTTACATGTCTCCATATATTTTACTTACTGCCTTCATAAAGCTTCACATTCAGTCATAAATTAGTGGCTTGCTAGGATTCTCTCTAAAAGCTAAGTACAGCCTTACACATACACATAATCTTCCAGAAAGCCCGGGATAAGCAGATGTTTTATCAAGGCCAACTTTGGCTATTTTGTCCCTGGATCTTTATTGCTTGTCTTAAGTATTAAGACTTCCCAGATTGTTTACCAGTCAGATCATTATTGTTCTGTTAATGGATATGCACATGCTCTGCTTCATATAAAGTCAGTTCCTTTCTCAGAGCAAAGCTGTCCATCTTTCAATATGACTGCCTTAGTAAAATTTTGCGTCATGGGGCTAAGGAAATGTGGGATGGGATAGGATGGAAGCTGTAGGTTGAAATGCTACAGGCCTCCACTGTACTTGCCAGTAGATTTTCTAGAGAAATGCTTTCCAATTTTTATATGCCTTTGGTCAATTCCCAGAGTTCTTCAGTTATTGTTTTTGACAATTCTCTCCAGTTTAATTCTTTTGGGAGATGGCTGAGTTCCTTGTTCAGTTATTCTAGAGGTCCACATAGATTTCCTTTTAACTTCCTTGTCAATGACTAACTGTGTGAGGTCATCAAAAGCTAGGACCCCACACTTCCTCTTGACATCTGCTGATGAAAGCATCAGGACCTGCAGAGCAGTGCTTACATTGAATTCTCCCATCTTGAGTTCTCTCAGTTTTGATATGGAAAGTTAAATGGGAGTGACCTCTTAGTCCTGTATGTAATGTGACTTGGGGATAACACTAAAATACTATTGCAATCACTGCATTAGCTCTGGAAGTAATATGAAAAACACTCTTAAGAAAAAAGCTTTAAAGGACCGACCATACCATTCTCTCGGTCCAAGTCTGTATATAAGTGGCAAGAATTATAAAGTCATCTAAAAAATGTACAAGCAAAACTTTTCTGATTATCTCCTTAACTAACTCAATTGAAAGTTCTGAGGGATTGAAACAGTTATTAACATCACTTGGTGAAATGGAATAAGAATTAATATTGAGGTTTGGGCAAACTTTTAAGTAAAGATCAGTGCCTTAAAAATGTGGTCCTTATATGCAGATTTTTAGATTTCAATATATAGGAATCAGAACACATGAGGGCAGGAGGTCAAAATCTAAATTTTTAAGAAGTAACCCAAATAATTACATATTCAAAAATCTGAAAATCAGATTCATTCCTGTATCAATCCTACTCTCACTTCTCAACCAAATCACAATTAGTTATATGGATTGAGCGTCTCAAATTGGGATAGTAATTCATAGGACAATCTAGGGATTAGCACTTTAAGAATAACAAAGGATAAAAAAACTTTATTGAGGTGTATGTTCTTTGAACTTTTATTTACTCTGTGGATTGTATCTCTTTCAAATTAATCTGTAATGTACAATTTACCTTAATGAGAAGCCCAGTTTGCTTCTTTCTTGGGAGGTAGTAACTTTGGGAAAGGAGATGACATTCACATTTATATTATGAATAGGGGGAAGAAGAAGATATCTTTATTTGTTTTCAGATGGTCCAATATAGCTTACCATGGTAAAGATCAGAGAGTTGATGTAAAACCCGTTATAAATAAAATACATGCCATTATTTGGAGCTCTTATATTTGTTCTTCTGGAATCTCAGGAAGGTAAAAGCCACGTAGTAATTAGTAGTATAACATGGAAAGATTCAGAGAAGCTTTTACTGCATATGCTCACAATTTACAGTTTTTAATTCTGCAGTTTATTGACACAGAGCATTCAAGTCTTCATGGAATTTGCTAGTGTAAACTTGCAAAAATGTTACTACCAACATTTCTGAAATTATAGGCTAGAAGAACAGACTTTGCTTTTATGTCATTTAAAGAAAGGCTTAATCGCAGTCTAAAATTATGAAAACTAATTTTTAAATTTGTATAAATGCAAAGTGAAATATGTTGCTTTGCAGGGCTGCCAAATGAAATCTTAAAGAGATGAAAGTATTGCCACTAATTGGGTAAAAAGCTTCATAATGCAAACATTAAAAATTATCAAGTGTCTTTTTCTGTCAAAATTTCCTGCAGAGTTAGTAGATTAAAAAACAGGTTATCTGTCCACCAGTTCTGAGAAGCAGCTCAATACACAGCATCAGCTAAGCTCATACCTGTACTCGGGGTCACTGTCATAGGCACTGTCTCTGTACAGAAAACCTCTCTTCAGCTCCAGTTCGTCGTCTTTCTCTGGGTCTCTCTCATCCTGAAAAATTTAAGATTTTCATTAATTTACTTTTTCATACCTTCCAACAATATGATGCTTATGTTTCTTTGGGAAATACTCTTGTCCTCCACTGTAGACTATTAAATCAAATGCTTACACATCTTTAAAGAAATGAAACAAAAGAGAATTTCTTATCCTTTTGAATAGAACTACAGAGCTTAATTATAATTTCACTAACACTGCTTACCAAAGATGAGGCATATTGCAGATATTTCTTGAATTAACAAATGCATGGAAATGGATGTGAAAATTAATAACATCTTACAAATTGTTACATGAGCTCCAAAAAGATTACTTACATTTTGGGGCATAAATATCTAAGAAAACTATGTATATGTAAGTATAAATCTACTACTTACAAAGCCAAAATGCAACAAGCCATGAAAGACAAAAATGAAAGTTAATTGGCATGAAAATTAACAGTACTCTCTTCAAGGTGCAACCTGTTCTTAACTTCTAACAGACACACAAAAGACAGATTTTTTTCTTTTGTTCCTTTGATTTTCGGAGACAGGGTCTCTTTATGTAGTCCACAATGGCCTTGGACCAGTGATCCTCCTCCCTAGCCTCCTGAGTACCAGGATTACAGACTGCACCTCTACAGCCAGCTCATACAGAGCATAAGAAACAGAATTCTGAGACATACTTTTAAAAACTATACCATTTACAGTAAACTCATATGCATGGCAATTTTATATAATACATTATGAAATATCTTTCTCAGCTGCTTGGTCAATACCCTTAGCTCCTTAGTCAAACAAGAACAAAAACAAAGAGAGCTAATAACAAAAGGAACTAGTAAACCCAAATAAAGATTATATTAATAAGGAGCTCATTTATGTAAAAACAGTTGAACATGGACTATGAAGAAAGTGATTTTTAAAATTTGCTGATGACTTACCACTATGAAGAGGGTATTTACACTGTAAAAATATGAGCAGTAAAAGGGCAAGTTTAAAAAATCACAGAAAATGTCCAAACAAATTTGGAATTGTTACAGCTTCTGGATTTTATCATTATAAAGTAATTCCTTTTATTTCTATTGCTGCTTTTCTCTCCCTCAAGTTTGTTGACCTATGATTACTATAAGTAAGGTAACTTACTTTTCGTTAGTGCTTGAATGGTATTTATTTGTCCTTTTATTTGGAAACTTTCCTTTAGAGTTTTATATTGCCTGGCATAAAGCTGGAGCTGCACAATTTTTTTTTTTTTTTTTTTGGTTTTTCTCCGGTACCGGGAACCGAACTCACGACCTTGCGCTTGCCAGGCAGGCGCTTTGCCGCTGAGCTAAATCCCCAGCCCCTAGCTGCACATTTTTAATCCAGTCTGAGAAGTCAAAATCTATTAATACCACAGAAAATGTAAAGGGCTATAATGAAAGTGCATGTTGTGGTAAAATTTTTATCAGTACATGTTTGTATTACATAATGATTACATTCATCATGGGGTGTTGGTACAAGTACCTAAACAAAATAGTTTACTTAAGACAGCATTAGTACAGTCATTAAAACTACTCATGGAGAGCACTGATAAGCACCTAAATCAATGCTCTCATGGAGGGAAGTTCCTTCCCTCTCCCCCAAGAAAAAGCTCTTGTGAGTCCTTGCCATATTATTTTTTAAAAAGTCGTTATATAACAGCAAAGAGGCAACAAATATACCTTTTGAGGTTTTATAGTATGACATGGCATGTTGTTGTTAATCTGTCCTATCCATCGTTGAACATAGTGTATTGAAGTCTCCAACAGTTATGTTTAACAGTCTATTTCTCCCTCTGTTTTTGCTTCTTTTATGTGGGGACCCCTTTTAGGTACATAAATATATGTAAGGGTCATATATTGCTGCTGGTTTGACCCTCTTATCATTATGTTTTTGTCTATGGCAACAAAAGTGTCTCCTGAAGCATTTTGTTGATAGTTGTTAATCCACTCTACCTTTCTTATGCTGTTTGAGTGGTATGTCTTTTCCTTTCCTTTCACCTTCAAGTTATCTGTGCATGTGACTCTAAAGTTTATTTCTTGTAGACAAACTATAGTTTAATCATTTTTTTTTTTTGGTTTTTCTCCGGTACCAGGAACCGAACTCATGACCTTGCGCTTGCCAGGCAGGCGCTTTGCCGCTGAGCTAAATCCCCAGCCCCGTTTAATCATTTTTAATGTGTTCTCCCAAACTCTGAGGCAGGCACAGCAGTATAACTAAAGATGTGAAAGAGAACTGCTAGAACTGCTTCACAAAATGGCAAAATCAATGGGATAGGTGTGTTCAAAGTGAGGAGTAGTATTTTGAGGGGGATTAATGTCAGTGTGTCTTTTACTGTAATCATTTTGGAAAAAAAATTTAATATTGACTGTATATTTGGATCATACCTCATAAATGAGTTACTCTTTAGAGTTCCTTCACTTTTGCCTGAAAAATAGTGCAGATCTACTGATGGATTTTCTGTTTTTTGTCTGAGAATGTTAATTTCTCCTACATTTTTAAAAGACAGTTTTCCAGTTTATTCATGATTAGTGGTTATTTTCTTTCTGTACTTTGAATGTGTTATCTCAATGTCTTCTGGATTCCATAGTTTCTGATGAGAAATCAATCTTAAACTTTAATGAGGACCTGGCAACCAGTATATATGATAAGTCCCTTCTGTTTTGAAGATTTCTTTTTATCTTTGGCTTCTGACTTATGACTTACAGTATTGTCCTGGGTATGGATTTTGGGTTTCTCCTACTTGGAGTTTGTGGAGCTTCTTAAATGATTAATAGATTTCTTCAAATTTGGGAAGTTTGTGACTTATTTCTCCAAATACTCTTTTTTTTTTTTTTTTTTTTTTTCCAAATACTCTTTATGTCTTTCTTTTCCTCCCCGCTTTCTTGAATTCTTACTACAGGTATGTGGACATGCTTAATGGGAGTCCACAAATCTCTAAGTATCTGATCATCATATGGATTATTTTTTCTTTCTGTTTCTCATACTGGATTACCTCAATTACATGTCTCCAATTCACTGATTTTATTTTCTGCCTGTTCAAATGTGCTAATGAATCTTTCTAATAAATTTTCTCTTTCTGATGGTTTTCATTTTAGAAAATTTTCACTTCTGAATTTATAATTTTTAATTCTAGAATTTCTATTTGCTTCTTTTTTGATAATTTCTATCTTTTTAGTCACATTTTATATTTGGTGAAGACAACTTTTTAAATTTTTTTTTTTTTTTTTTTTTTTTTTTTTTGGTTTTTCTCCGGTACCGGGAACCGAACTCACGACCTTGCGCTTGCCAGGCAGGCGCTTTGCCGCTGAGCTAAATCCCCAGCCCCTAAATTTTTATTTTTATTCGTACATGTTTGCAGTACACAGTGATTACATTCACCATGGGGAGTTGGTACAAGTACCTAGCACATCTGCAACTAACTCTTATACTTTACATCTTTGGACATGGCTTACTTTGGTTCTTTAAACATATTTAATCTGACTTATCATCTGTAGTGAGTCCAATCTATAGGTCCTACAGAGCCACAGAGACAGTTTCTATTAATAGCTTTTAAAAATCTCTATCCATTCTTTTATTGTTATTGTTTATAGTTCTGTTTAGTGATTTGGGGGGCTAATACTGTAAAGTCTGTATTCTTTTTGTGGGTGGTCCCCTAATACCCTATTTTATCAGTCAAGTGTCCATACCAGTTAAGTAATAACTGGACACACATCCCCATAAACTCTTGGAATTGTTAAATCACCCAGTGTTTCCTAAGTAGATTTGTGTGTATGTTGGGGTACACTTTCAATACTCAGCCTAAACTTTAACTTCTTGCTTGTGCACAGCCTTAAATTGGCCAGAATTGAATGTGTAGGGTCTTCATGAACAAAGCCCTGGGATATATGCACAGTCCTATAAATATATATGATACGCCTGTAATCCCAACACTCGGGAGGCTGAAGCAAGAGAATCGCTGTGAGTTTGAGGCTGGCCTGGGCTACAAAGTGAGCTCAAGGCCAGCCTGAACTGCATGGTGAGACCCTGTCTCAGAAAAAAAAAAAAAAGACAAAAAAAAAATGTATGGGCTTCTAAAATCCCAGGAATAAATGAAGGAGTTTTTTATAGCACCTGTAGATATAACTAGCTTTTCCTTTTAAGCTTTTGATTATTTTATTATTTGTCCAATTGCTCCTATAATTTCAGACTCCAATGAAGTTAAACTACTGCCTATAATTACTTTCAACAAATGACTCCTGTGCAAATATTTTGTACTTGGAAAGCTCTGACTCATGTCAAAAAAAGCTACCATTGTATGTGGGTTCTTCTAGGTAATCTCCAGATGGGTCAAATAATGCCAATTCTCTGGCAATGATTTCTGAAGAAACTTTTTCTGCCTTCTACAATGTGATAAAGGGATACAACATGGACAAGTCTGTAAGACATTATGCTACACAGAAAGTCTATTCACAAAGACCACATATATGGTATCATTTATATGACATGTTTGAACAAGCATCTATAGAAATTAGGTTGATGGTTGCCTAGAAAGAGAAATGGAGTGTGGGAAGAATGATACGGGACTTTTCAGATGTCTTCTGCAGTTATAAAAATGTTTTGAAATTAGATGTGCTGCTGATTGATATCCTCAGTATAAGAATCATTGAAATGTATAAAATGAATAAATATCTCAATATGATTTTATAAGGCCTTTAAATGGAATAATAGGTGGCATTATTAGTTTTTATTATCTCAAGTATATACACACTGTGTTCAGCTATGGCAATCTAGAATATTTCATAGATGAAAGGAAAGGGATAAATAATACACTAAAATTTGCATAGGGGTTTCCATGGGTATAGAGAAGATCTGAATAACATAATTAATAAATGCTATATACTAGGATTTATACAAATGCTGCACCATATAATGACAGGATATTTATTAGCTACAAGTATACAAAATTATTAAACCTGATTATTTGCTAAGTCTTAAGGACATGTTAATAAATCTCAAATA